TCCTCCTCCTGGGAGGGCCCCCCGGGAGGCCAAAGGTGGCCCCGGAGCGGAGAGTCGGATCTCGCTGGGGCCCTCCCTGAGATCCTGGCGGCGGCCCAGCTTGTCTGAGCCGGGCGTCTTCCCCCCCAGCTTCGAGCCACGGCCCCCTCACGGATGGGTCCGGCTCGAGGAGTGGCGCGGAGAGGCGGGGTCTGGGGCTTCCGTTGCGATGTTCTGCGATCTTTCGACTTGTTCGGAGCATCGGATCCCAGGGCTACGCTAAGGTCGGGCCTGTCCCCCTACAGGCAGATTTGGAGCGAACCAAAAAATCCAAAACATATGCAACAAATAAAAAATCGCTCCCATACTGTATATATGTACATAAACAAAAAATATGTTCGAATACTGCTCATGTAGAGGGACAGGCCCGACTTAAGGCTACGCCCGAGGGCGGCGCCCAGAAGCAGCCCACCGCGGAGCTGGTGCGCAGGCAGGTGCTCCAGGCCCCGCGCAGCAGTGCCCCCCGGCCCCACGGCGCGCCCACCTGCCGGGGGGGCGCCTCCAGCGAAAGGGCTCTCACCCTCACGGCCTCCTCCTCCTCCTCCTCCTCCTCCTCTTTTTGCATCTCATCTCTCCTGGTGCTCAGAGGCCGCTGGCCACTTCCCCTCCCCCCCTCGGCCCTCCCAGCCCCCCTCCCCCATCTCATGCTCCTCCATCCAAGTCATAGTCAGTTAGTCAGTCCTCCTCCTCATCTCCTTACTCCTCCACCTCCATCTCCTACCTCTCTCCTCCTCCCTCCTGTTCGTCGTTCGTTCATCCTACTCATCTTCCTTCTCCCCTTACTCCTCCTCCTCCTCCTCCTCCTCCTCCTATTCCTCTCCTCCTCCTCCTCCTTCATATTATAAACTTTCCTGTCGCAACACCGAGGCCAGTTTTTAGAGCTGGCTGGGCCCAGCGTTTCGTTGCCCCGTCGTACGTCCGTTCCGTCGTTCGGGAGACTTCCTCACCATTTATGACCCTGAAGGTTAGCGTCACAGATGGAGGGCGGTTCCTTTTCAAAATGAGGCTCTCGCCTCAGCGCCGCGCATACTCATCTCTCATCTTTCCATATTTGCAAAAGCTTCACGACTTGAGGGCGGGCAGTTTTCAAAATGTGGCTCTCGCCTCCGCGTAAACTCGTGCTAAACATTTGCAAGAGCTTCAAGGATTGAGGTCGGGCCGTTTCCAAAATGTGGCTCTCGCCTGAGCGCCGCGTATATTCGTTCTAAAAATTTGCAAGAGCTTCATGGAATGAGGGCGGCTCCTTCTCAAAATGTGGCTCTCGCCTCAGCGCCGCGCAAATTCGTTTTTTGTTTAACTATTGCAAGAGTTTAACGGCTTCGTTGATCAGCGTGCCAGAAAAGAGGACTCTGGATCATGAGGGCGCAACGGTTACGATGATTCGAGGTGTTGAAATCCCAAGAATGGCGTTCTGGCAAGACTCGGGATCGTCAAGACGTAACAGTCAGGTTGATCCGTGGCGTTGAAATCCCGAGAATAATGTGTTGGCATGCTTCAGGCTATTCAAACCGTTGTCTTCCAACGAGGCAGTTCACTGAGTGGAAATGAACCGTTGTGGGCGTCTATGAAGATTGAGCTTGGAGGGAGGGTTTACTCCAACATCGTTGATGACTCTTGGGTTTACACTGGTCCTCCTCCTCCTCCTTCTCCTCCTCCTCCTGCTAGTCGTCCTCCTCCTCCGTTGCGATGAGGCAAACCACGCCGCCGTGCCCGGCCGCCCGAGCTGGCGGCGCAAGCCAAAGCTGGCACACGGACCAGGTCCTCCGCCTGCGGAGGGCAGTGCGCCTCAGCCTCGAGCGAATCGGGCGAGAGGGTGTGGCGTGGCACAGCTGTTTTTTTTTATTTAGCTCAACACTCCGCTGCCACAGGATTCGAGCACTGGGGGCAGGGCCCAGTGCAAGGCAGAGCCCTGACGGCCCTGCAGGCCTCAGAAGAGAACCACCTTCGAGTGCGTAGCCCCAAGCTGATCGGCACCAGGTGAGACTGAGGGCTCTGGCCTCGAGGCAGGTCCTGCGGACTGCAGGTAGGGGCCGTTTGCTCTGCGGACGTCTTCTAGGTTGGCATACGAGGTATCCGGAGGAGGAGGAGGAGGAGGAGGAGGAGGAGGACGACGACGACGACGACGACGACGACGACGACGACGAATACGAATACGGATGCGACAACGAGGAGGACGACGAGGGGGGGAAGGGGAGAGTGCGGGGAGGCAAAGTAGGCAGACGAGGCGGAAACTCGATCACTGGAACACCGTCCGACCGTCGCAGCTCCTGGTCGGAGGAGGCGGACGGGAGCGCGCCGAGGCCGTCGGCCGGTCGGCCAGCAGGCCCCTTGAGGGCAGCGCGGGCGGGAAGGGGCCCGCGAGCTGCACTTGCTGGACGAAGGCGCACGTCCCATACGGAGTCGGAGTCGGAGCCGGGGGTCGGAGAGGTGGGAAGGGACCAAGAGTCGGAGGAGGCGGAGGCGGACGGGGGGGAGGAAAGGGAAGAGGTGGAAGCTCGGGTAGATATGCCTGAAAAGCGGCCGGTGGTCGCAGCTCATGGCAGCCCTCCGCTGGATCCAGCCTCGAAATCGGATCGGATCGGAAACGGATCGGATCGCCTGCGAGCCGTCCCGGATCGGATCGCAATCGGATCGCCGCGCCTGGCCCCCGCCGGCCCTGGCCGATGCTGACAGTGGAACCGAATCGAACCGTGTCGGATGGGACCTGAAGCGCGGCCCCAGCGGGCGGATCGGATCGCATCGGATCGGATCGCACGGCCATCGTGCTACCACGACGAACGCTGAATAAGGAACGAAGGGGTGCACGGCTTCCCCCGGGGCCGTAGGCGACCCCGAGGAGGAGGAGGAGGAGGAGGAGGAGGAGGAGGAGGAAGAGGAGGGGGAGGGGGAGGAGAAGGAGGAAGAGGAGGGGGAGGAGGAGGAGGAGGAGGAGGAGGAGGAGGAGGAGGAGGAGGAGGAGGAGGAGGAGGAGGAGGAGGAGGAGAAGGCGGAGGAGAAGGAGGAAGAGGAGGGCGAGGAGGAGGAGGAAGTGGAGGAGGAGGAGGAGGAGGACGGGTCGCCTGAGCCCTTCGGAGAAACCCTCCACGCCGAATGAGGAACGAGGGGGCGTGTCTGGCCACGGCCATCCCCGGCCACGGGCAGGTCCCCTGACCCAGGCCTGCGGAGCGGCCCGGGAGAGCGAAGCCCCCCCTGAGCTCCAGGTGTGACCGAAGGGGCCCGGGGGCACACAAGTGCATGCACACGAATCCCAGGGTTCCCCCACAGCTTCCCAGGTCTTCTGCCTCTTCGTCTCCCCCCCCCCCTTCCCACACTTTCCCGTATATCTCCTGGGGCATCGACGATTCCTGGTGTCTGTGTGTGTGCTTCTTCCCCTCCTGAGAGTGGTCCTCGTGGAAGCGGCCTGACCGCGGGCGGCCCCGCCTGGCTGGAGGCGGCCGGTTCGAGAAGCCGCGCGCCCAAAAATGTTGCCGCCTGTTGGGGTCGCGTCTGCTACTCCCGCTGGCCTCCGCGGGCCGTCCGCAGGCGGGGCCGGCACGGCCGCCCCCCCCCCTTTTGCTCCCGCCGGCCTCCGCCGCCCTTCCGCCTCCGCCTCCCGTCCGAGGAGGAGGCGGCAGCTCCTTCGACCCTCGCAGGCGAGGCCCCTTTTCTGGAACGCCTCCCGTGTCCTCCGCTCGGCCTCTGGAGGGGCCCGCCTGCTGCCGCGTCTTCACCAGCTCCGCCGGGGCCTCCAGGCAGCCCCGCGCGGCGCCCCCCGCGGCGCCTGGGCTCCGCACGGCGCGCGCGCGCACTTTCGGGGCGCAGTGGTGCCGAGTGCCCTCAGGACGCCCAGTTCTTCCTCCTCCTCCTCCTCCTCCTCCTCCTCCTCCTCCTCCTCCTCCTCCTCCTCCTAGCCCATAATCCTGCCTTCACATCCATCCTCCTCCTCTGCCGCCTACTCCTCTCCTCCTCCTCATCCGCCATTCCTCGTCCTCTCGTTCCTCCTCCTCCTCCTGTACTCCTTTCCGCCTAATCCTCCTCCATCCACGCCTCCGACGACGCAGCCTCCCTACACCCTCTCCCCAGACCATCATCCTTCCTCCTCATCCTTCTCCTTCGCCTTCCTCCGCCTCCTCCTCCTCCTCCTCCTCCTCCTCCTCCCCCCCCACTCTTGCCCCATCCGGTCCTCCTCGTCCTCCTCCTCCTCCTCCTCCTCCTCCTCCTCCTCCTCCTCCTCCTCCTCCTCCTCCTCCTCCTCCTCCTCCTGCTCCTCCTCCTTCAACTTTAAGATTGAAGCAGGAGAAACCGGCTAACCTGTGAGATACTTTGAACAAAGTTCGGCTGATGGCGTCCGAATTACACAAACGTTGCATGACTTTGAGAGGTAAAGTATCCGCGCGAATATCGCCTCGCCTCCCTCTGCATGAGTTTCCTCTGCCCACGTGCTTAGGCGGATGGATGCCAGCTCGGTTCATCGGCATTGCAGGCCAATCGCACATGCATCCTTACACCGTCCCAACTCCGCTGGACGCTATCGTCAAGCCGAGAGGTGCGGGGGAAGCAGGGAGACGCAACACAAATGAGAATCCCGTTCTGTTCCAAAGGTATTCGGGCCCCAGAAGTCCCTCAACAATGCGGAAGCCATGGAACACGGGATTCAGAGCCTCACTCTGACAAGCACACAGCGCTACGACCATGTCTCTACGTCAAGTTATTGTTGTGTAATTTGCCCATATTCCCGGGCCTGTTGCGGCCATACGTGAAATCTCCGAATGCCTTCTGGGGACCTCTTGTAACTCTCTGGAGACCAGCCTGAGTGCCATGGGCGGTACTAGAATCGGATCGACAGCGATGCATGACTGGGAGAAGCAATACATTACACCAGAAGAAAACCCCAATCAAAGGATGGTTTTCGCTCAGGAGATCGGCCGGGAACCCGAGAGCCCGGGAACCCAGAACCCACCGAACTCGGCCCGGAACCAATAACCGGGAACCCGGGAACCCGGGAACCCGGAACCGGGAACCTGGGAACCCAACCTGCTACCAAAATCGGCGGGAAACTTTCGCCAAATATTTCAACTTCCGCTAGGACCCCTTCAGTGCAAGCACTGCTTGGGGAAAAAAGAAGCATTGACTGAAACCAATGTGACTTGTTTCATGGTTTGGGTTGCCAACATGTGATTGAGGGCCAGTACTTGGAACCCCCAAACACGGTCTGCGGAAAGACTGCGGAAGCCTCAGCGAGCAAGAGACATGTAGAGAGGCAGAAGAGAGCGCGATGTGTTGTTAAAATTGTTGTTTCTTGTTTTATTGTTTTGTGTTTGTCTTATTTTCTTTTAGAGGCCGAAGAGAGCGCGAGGTGACGACTGGGACAGACCAGGCAAGAGAATCCAGAGGCCAGGGGCCGACCATCGAAAGCGCACGGTCTTGCAGCTCGCTCGTCGGAAGAGCTGGGCAGTGTGCTGCAGTGCAAAGGAGGCATCGAGCTCCTGCTCCGCCTATCAGCTTATGCCGAGCAGTGACAAGCCCTGCCACTGTTCCCGCCCACGCAAATCCCGGCTGGGTAGCTGACTATATCGAGCCGAGCGTTCACGTCCATGTCTACGACTGCAGGCGACAAAGAGCTTCTGAAGCAGCACACTGGCAAGAATCGCTCATCGTCGCCGACCGACAGGCTCAGACATTTGTGCACAGATGCGTGAACAAACGAACAGGCGGGTAATACATCTGAGGCTGCTCACGCAGGTAAGTACGCCAGTGCAGTCCCGTGGTGCCCAAACGAATTCAGCGTCGTAAGAAGATGGAAAGCGCCAGAAACCGACCCGAAGGAAGCTTGGGAATCCTCCGCTGCCGCCCGAAGACATCTCACACACTCTGGTGCCAGCATGATGGCTGAGGAGGTTCAAATGCAAACCCGTCTCCGACGAATCGCTGAGCAATGAAATTGCGTGCCGCCACTGGCCGCATTTCTCGCACGCGCTGGCCCCAGCATAGCAGCTGATTTCAGTGGGCTCTAAAATCACCTTCAGAAGCGAGACGAACCGCGACAGAACGTGCTGCCACTGCCAACCCATCTCGCATGCAGCGAGACTGGCGTTTTAACTGACAGGCGTGTGCCAATGGGGCACACCCGCAAGCGACCTGCTCATCTGGCATGGAACGTTATTCTTGGGGCGCGCTTGGTTGGTCAAGTTTCCTAAGACCCCGGGGAACCTACAATATGCTGCAGGGCGACTTGGACTGTCTGCGAAACTGCCCGCCGCCGTCGAACACGTGATGTTGCTTGCTGCTGTTGCCCGCTGCTGGTGTTACGGGGTGCTGCGGGTTGGTTCTAGTGTCTGATTGCTGACTGCTGCCTGTCGCTGACTGTGCTTACCGCGTCTTGCTGGCTGTCTTGGGGCCGTCTTGGCGGCTGCCAGGGGATACCTGCTTCTGGGAGGGGGGGGGGGGCGGGAGGAGGTCTGGGGCGTCCCCGAGGGCCCTTTTTGCAGGCCCGGGACACGGAGCCCTCTTGCAGGCCACCTGGCCGCGAGGCCGAGAACGGCAGGCAGTGGAGGAACACCCCGCGGAACTTCGACGCTTCCTCAGAGGAGCCCTGGCCTGGACCATGCTGGAGGAGGAGGCGGAGGAGGGGGAGTAGGAGGAGGAGGAGGAAGAGGAGGAGGAGGACAGGAGGAGGAGGACAGGAGGAGGAGGAGGAGGAGGAGGAGGAGGAGGAGGAGGAGGAGAGGAGGAGGAGGAGGAGGAGGACCACTGTGGGGGACCAGGCCGGGGCCCCCGGGAGCTCCTCGAGCTGCCTGGGGCGCCGGGCGCCTCCAGGGAGGCCCTCGCGGCGGACTGCAGGAGGCCCCGCGGGCGGCCGCGGCGGCGGGGGGTCCCCGCCCTCACGGCCCCTGCCGCCGGCCGTGCTCTCTCGCCCGCGCTGCCCCTCCAGGACGGTGGTGCTGCTGGCAGGGGGCTCCAGCTTCGCCGCCCACGGCTCGCCGAGCAGCGGCGGGGCCCGCAGTCACTCTGGCTGCCTCTCGCGCGCGCGCTGGCCTGGCGCAGCAGCTCACAAAGGGCGGACCCACGGCATGGCATGCCAGAAGGCTTGCTGTGCGGCGGGTGGCCAGCGACGCGAGTTTCGAGTTCGATGACTGTCCCGGTGATCACTATGGCTGCCCTGCATGGTCCCCCACACTCACAGCGCCTCGTGGGATGATCGAAAGCGCGAGAGGCCAGTCTGAACAGAGCCCGGAAATCCTGCCGAGTCGCCAGATGACCTCTCATACGCTGTGATGACCAGATCGTAACTGATTCCGTTGGGCTCCCAATTGTTATCCCGCATCTCGCTGAGCAGCGATAAGGCTTGCCACCACTGGCCGCATCTCTCACACGCGCGGATCCCAGCGATGTAGCTGATGACAGTGGGCTCCGACCAAGACTCCCGCATCTCCTTAAGCAGCGATAGAGCCCGCTTCCACTGCTTGCCTTTCTCGCACGCGCTTATCCCAGCGTTGTAGCTGACTAGGGCAGACCTGTGGACTCCGTCCACGACATCAGCTCGACGTGGCGAGGGGTCTCTGGGCAAGCGCGAGGGGGTGCGGCTGCAGGGCCGAAAGGCAATCATGATAGCGTCGGGCTCCAGCTTCGGAGGTCCTGCTGCTTCCTCCCCCTCCTCCTCCTCCTCCTCCGCCTCCTCCTCCTCCTCTTCCACCTTCTTCTCCTCTTTCGCTGGATTCTCCATGCCCTCGGTCGGCAATCGTCGATCCCACGACGACTCTCCCCAACAGAGAAACATCGAAGGCCCTCGGAGCGTCCAACATTGTTCTTTTGTGCCTTCGATATGCCGGTCGCCTCTCGTCCGCTCCCCCCCTCCTGGAAGCAATTCTGAAGCCACTTAGGGCTTCGTGGGGGCCGTTTGGGGATCTCTTGGGGCGTTTTTGCCTGCGATATGCCTGTCGCCTCTCGTCCGCTCCCCCGCTCCTGGAGGGAATTCTGAAGCCACTGAAGGCTTCGTGGGGGCCGTTTCGGAGCCTCTTCGGCCTTCTTTTGGGCCTCCCGGGGGGGCTCTTAGGGCCCTCTCGGGCCGTCTTGGGTGCCTCTTGGGCCGTCTTGGGGCCGTCTGAGGCCCGCCTCGGCGCCTCTTGGACTGTCTTGGGCCGTCTTGGGCAGCTCCTGGGGCCGTCTTGGGTGCCTCTTGGGCCGTCTTGGGCGCCTCCTGGGCCGTCCGGGGGCCGTCCTGGAGCGTCTGGGCACCGTCTGGGGGCCCTCCTGGCCCGTCTTGGGGCTCTCTTGGGGTCCTCTTCGGCCGTCTTGGAGCGTTCGGAGGGACTTCTTGGGCCGTCTTGGAGCGTCGGGAAGCCGAAAAGGCGAGGAGGGCGAAAACATCGAAAAACACAATAGAAATCGACGATATCTGTCGCTCGGGGCCCTCTTGGGAGGCCTCTTGGGAGGCCTCTTCGGGCGTCTTGGACGCCTCTTGGGCCGTCTGGGGCGAATCTCGGGCGTCTTGGGCCCATCTTTAAGCGTGCCGGGGCTCTCCGGGGCCGTCTTGGGGGCTTCTGGGGGCCCTCTCGACATGTCCTGGAGCCGTCTTGGGGCCTCCCTGGGCGGCCCGGGGCCAGCCCGGGGCGGTTTCGGTGCATTGGGGCCTGCGCCCTTCTGGCACGCACTGGGCCCTGCAATGTAGTAGAGACTGGGGCTGACCGGTGGACTGCGCCCACGAAATCTGCACGAACTGGCACGGGATCGTGCACATACTGGCGAAAGGATGAGATGAATAACATGGGGTTCGACCCTAGC